GCCCCCGAACCTTCATTCTGCATCGGTTTGGGTTCATTTTTGGCAGGGACCTCTGTTTCATTGGTAAGAAGGCCATAGAAGGGTGGGAGGCCAGTAATTGTTCTGTCAGCCAACTTCATCCTTTCATCGCCCTCCGTCGCCCGTTTTTTCTCACTTCAAAGCCAATGTTGACCACCCTTGGGCCATTTTCTTGAACCCTAAATCCCATATTTGTGATGTACACATCTGGGAGGCCACCAATATTTGGTAGCCGGCCAGTAATTGCTTTTGAACCTTTTGAACCCCTTTGAAAAGTGGATTGTTCTCCCTTCTGGTTCATTTTCTCCAGTTTTTAACCACTTGGTTGTGTTGTGCACACATCAGAGGCTCTCTTTTTGGGGTGGCCGGCCACTAATACCATGGGAGGTAGCCAACCGGCCACCTAAACCCTAGATAACTGGCCGGCCAGAATCCTTGCATCAAGTACAGTGCAGATACACCCTCCTTTTCCCCCCAGATTCTGTATCCGGGGGGGCCAATTTTTGGAGGGAAACTTGGCTTCATTTCCTTCCATTTTCCCCCCCTTTTTTCCCCCTCTCTTGCCTATATAACCAGCCTCCCAGCTCTGTAATAAGGGTTAGAAAAATCACCTTTGAGCTCCCATATTATATCTCTCTCTCTACACTTCCAAGCTTCAAACCTCTCAAGTCTTACACCCATTTCTTCACCAACCCATAGCACCATACCTCCGACCTCCATTGCAGCCACTTGAAGCTGTTTTCTAGAGCTAAGGAGCCACCAAACTCAAGCCAAGAGGCTGTCAAGGCATAGTCTTCAAGGGTGAGCTTCTTTTTTCCCTTTTCTAGCCTTTTCTTGATTTATTTATAAACCATACTTGCTTGCTGTTTTGGGCTCCGACCCTAACTGGGAATAGCATTATTTTGAGGTATTTTTCATGTTTGTTTAAGTTCCTCTCACTGTTTGAGGCCTCCTTGTTTCACTTGCTTCATTAGCTCCCTTGTATGCCATTTTCTTGTGTAGTATTTTTAACCTATGTATAAATTGTTTTGAGGCATATCATAAACTGTAAAGAAGCTTATTTTGAGCCCTTCTTCAACATTGTTGAAGGTCTCATCACTTTTTGTGTCTTCCATTTGCCACTTGCCTTTATATCTCTCTTTTGGCTCCATTTTTGCATGATTTGTTATCCTCTTATGCTTCTATTTTTGGGCTCTGTTCCGAACTAAAAATGACCTTATTTTGACCCCCTCTTCATGTTTCATTAAGGGTTTTTCACTGTTTGAGGCATCCTTTTTATACTTTGTGTTATAACTCTCTTTTTGGCCTTATTTTGCATAGCATTTTGAGCATTCTTGTACAATGTTTTGGGTCTGGCCACCAACTGGAAAATATCATGTTTTGGGCTTCTCTTCAAATTTGTTGAAGGGCCCTCTCTTGTTTGGGGTCAGCAGCTGTGACTTGCTTCTTTATCTCACATTTAGGGCCATTTTTGCATATTGGTTTAGCCCTATTTGTGTTCATTGTTTGGCCTTGATTAAAACTGTAAACATGCTTGTTTTGGGGCTGCCTTGAATCTGTCTTCACATTTCATGATCAAATAGCGCATGTTTTGTATAGCTATAGGCCATTGCATATGCCTAGTCTTGTGTTTCGGGTTCATTCCGTGTATCGGGTGCCATGTTTCCATGATTCGGGACTGTTTTGGGTCATATTTTAGCGCTAAAATTTGTATGCTTGTATGCCATATCCCATGCCTTGCCATGTCTTGTTAGAGTGGCATTTGTGCCTTAGGTTCGGTCCTCGGTTTGTGTGCACGTGTGCACGCATTTCGAGTGTCTCATTTTTCATCTCATGGCCTCCTATGTGAGTGTGGCTGAGGTCCACTCATGTTGGTGTAAGTCCATTATGCATTGTGTATGCCATTTCATTTCATAGCATTGTGTATGCTAGGTTGTATGTTAGCGCATTGTGTATGCCATGTTATCTCGTGCATCGTGTATGCCATTTCATAGCATTGTGCATGCTAGGTTGTATATTAGTTGCATTCATGCATGTCATGCATATTGCATTGTGCTTGGGATAGGAGTTAGCCCGAGTATGGGAAACGAGGTACGTTTCGTACTCCGAGTGACGGAACGTGTCTCAATTCCCAGTCACCGACACTCCGGATTATCCATGATGGGGTTAGGTCTTGTTGTGTTTATGTGTGCGTTCATTTCATATTGAGTTGCGCAGTTCGACTCCTCGGCCATCATGCATCGTTATGCGTGATTGGTGGCACGAGGATCGAGGCATGCATACATTTGTGAAAATACATTGCTATGCCCCTTTCCTGCTCTCTGTTGCAGCAAAATGAAGAATCAGCAACTTTTCGGGGCTTGGCACGCTTTCCAAGGATAACTGCTAAACAGAGGCTAATTGGGGCATCCCGGTGGATTTCCGCGCAAGGCAGCCTAAATATACTCGGCAGAAGCAAGGCAGTCCCTGGCTTGCATGCCAGTTTATTATTTTTCTTAGTTAATTTGTAAATTAATTAGGAATTTGTGTATATATTTGGACTGTATTATTTGGACTGGTACTATTTATTTCGGACCTCTGGCGCGAGGCATAAACTGTAATAAGTGTGCGTGCGTTGATGTATGTCTTCCAACCCCACGTCTTTCTCCCTTTTATTTACCAGCTTATGATGGTTAGATTAGGGGCATGTTTCAATTGCATTCAGTATGATAGCATGTTGCATTCATTCATCTGTTTTGCATGCACCGGGCTCGGCACATCATACTAACTGCATTTGTATTTCAATTTCAAAATTGAATACTTGTTAGCTGTTGTATCTCATATGCCATGTTTAGAATAGCCGAGCATGCTATGTTGCATTTTGCATGTGTTGCATTAGGCATTTCTGCATAATTAGGATCATACATGGATTTCTAATTAGCTTCTGTTTTGACTTGGAGTACTCGGTAAGTTTTATGCTTTAGCATCCTTGGCATGCGTGTGAGTGACTGCCATGAATAGCATGCTTACCATAAGGCTATATGCTTATGTGATATAACTGCCTGAATGCCTTGGGTGAAGGTTGCGATTATTTGAATTGGAACAATTCATCAAATGTATGTTTTAAGCCCCACTAGATAGTGGCAAAATCATGATTTTCTAAGCCACCTGAGGGTGGCAAAATCCATGTCTTAGCCTCTTGCGGGTAGTACCATCAAACCATTTTCAAAATAAACAAACATGAAATGTTTTGTTCTAATTCAGACGATCCAGTCTATACTTGTTATGCTGTGCGCTCAACAATAGTAAATCTAGGCTAATAACCAGAATAAGAACCACAATGTTTTCAAAAACTTGATATCATGGTTAGTAGAGGCCGATCTTTGATCGGGCGTGCGGGGGTGCTCACGAAGTGACCTTCCCAATCGTACCCAAGTTCCCGAGCCGAGGCAACTTTGGTGATGACGGACACGTGGCCTTAGGCAAACGAGTCAAGGTTTCCTAAATTTCCCCAAAAAATAAATATTTAGGTGGCGACTCTGTATCTGGCAAAGCAGTCCATGTTTGGCACTTCTTTCAAAATCTGTTTTCTCAAAACGATTTGCCGGATTTGGACTCTTTGGTTCAGATTACGAACCGTGACAATTTTAGAGTCCTGAGTTGTAGTGACCCCAATATCGAACGGAACGGGGGACTCGTTCCCTCCCGGGGCGTTCGGGGACGTCTACAGTGAGCATTTCTTACTTTAGCATATTGCATGTGTGTTTGTATTGTCATATCAAGCATACTACCATGAGACTAAGTACTTATTTGGAATAACTCTGAATCCCTGTGGATGAAGGCTATTTCTCTTAAATTGGGATGATTTCGATTAATGTACATAAGCTTACTTTTTCAAAAAGCAAATTCAAAACTCTTTTCAAACAAATATAAAATTAAAACATTCCAAAGTGGGTGACGTAGTCTATATTTGTGTGTCTCACATAGTAAGTTAGCATTAATAATAAATAAAAAAAAACATATAATGTACATAAAAATCACATCATGATTAGTAAAAACCCATCTTTGATCAGGTGAGTGGGGTGCTCAATTCATAACAGTCTCCTCTTATACCTAAGTTTTTGAGTCAAAACACTTTGGTTATGATTGACAAGTGGCTTTTGGCACGAGTCACGTGTTTTCTAAATTTTTCAAAAATATTTAGGTGGCGATTCTAAAATCTAGCAATGCAGTTCATTTTTGACATCTCTAATGAGAAATAGATTTTTCAAAGATTTGTTAAATTTGAACTCTCATTTATATTTTTTTCTATTTCACATTATACTTATGAAATCAGATTCAAAATTACGAGAATCCAAACTATAAGACTATAGTATCCGAAAAAAATTAACCCTTTGTTTGGTTGTGATTTCAAAATGTGATTCAACGTGGTAGTTTGAGTATGTTGTTTGGATGGAGCTGTGGAATTAATTTTCCATAGCTCTGCAGAACGCTCTGTCTGTTCTATCAAAACCAAACGCGTGTTTCAATTTTTTTTTCAAAACGGGACGTCCGGCCGGTCGGTTGACCGGAATAGTGATTTTTTTTTTTTGCAATTGATATATAATCGAAAAAAATATTTTCTGAAATTTTTAAAATTTGTTATGTGCTTTAATATAATTTTGAGTTGTATGAGTTGTAAATTTTTATATTAAATTTTAAATGTCACATCAATAATTCCCCACTCAAATCAAAACTCTTTTCAAAACTATTTTCAAAACTCTTTACCAAACAAATTTTCTATACTAAAATCATAATTTCACAACACACAAATTTAAAATTCAATTCATATTCTCAAATCACATTTACAAATCTCAGCCACACCCTACCTAAACCTCTTCGAAAAGGACGAAATCAGCTGCAACCAACTTTACTAACAAATTTTATTAATCAAATAACAAATTAAACTTACGGACGTTGACCAAAAGTTAAATAAACAAAATCAGACCCATAAATAAAAGACAAAAATTCGAGTCATCTCATCAAAAAAAGCATCTTCGTTTTCTCTTCTTCGCAAGCCCCAAAGGAAGTTCCCATTTGAAGCTCCTCTCTCTCCTCTCTCTCCTTCCTTCTTACAGAGAGATCGCAGATTTGTTATTGCATATCGCAGATCATCTCTAGGTACTTTGTTCTCCTTCGCCTCTATATGTATGTATATATAGTTTTTGTATACGTGTACAAATATTTATCGTCTATGTGATGTTTCTGTGTTGTAGATTCATTATACAAAATCATCTCTAACCCTTCAACTATTTTTTTGTCTAATTTGATTCCAAATTTGAGTGAACAATTTGATTTGATATGACCTACTCTAATCTTTTCATCAAATTTTCCTTAAAATCTTTTTGAAAATTCCCCTCTTATACCAAATTTCCCTTTTCATCAAATTTGATGAAAAAAAATATCATCTTCAATGCTTCATAATTTAAATTTTCATCAAACTCAAATTTGATGAGTTATCAATTTGATAAAATAAAAAATTAACCCTCTCTTAATTTGATGAAAGGATTGAGATTGTTGTTTTTGTTCTAAGAAATTAATTTGTACAAACCGGTAGCTGCTTATCCTTTTGGAAATATTAAGCAATTTTGTTCAGGGAAATTGTTTTTGATTTCTCAAGATTGGCAAAAACTGTAATCCTAAATATATTAAAGGCAGACTACCTTTCTGGCATGATGTACAAGCTTTCTTTTTCATTTTTCCTCCTTTATTCTGTTTTCCTGAACAAGCAAATTTCTTTTAGAATTGCATGCATAAAAATTTTTTCATCTGCGTGTGATTGTCAGCTGTTGGCATCATTAAGTTATGCCTTTTTACCTCATGACCTTTATGGATGACATTTTGTCTTGTTAAAAATGGTGTTTTTAATGCATTTTTCTCTCCGATTCGTATATGGGAATATGGGACATAGTCATTAAAGGTTTCTAGGCAATCACTAATCATGCCTATGGTACTAAGGTAGTGTTTGGTTTGGTTCATTGGAATGAATCGGAATGGAATGACCATTCTATCATAATCAAAATAGTCATTTATATGTTTGGTTAGACTAAAAATATAATGACAAATGCCTTACAAATAGAATCATCTTTCACTGTGTTCACTATGTTAAGGGAATGATCCTTTCCTACAAAAGGAATCACCATTCCATTCCATTCCATCTCATTCCAATGAACCAAAAAGAGCATAAAGGATTTTTATGGATCAACTATCCATTAAGTTGACTAACATTGTTTGCTTTAAAAAGGGTCTCTTTTTATTTTTTATTTTTAATATCAATATTCCTCCTATACATATATATATATACCTATATATATATATAATCATATGTAAATAAATGTCATCAGTTATGCAGATGCAAAAACACATTAGGTCTTGTGTTGCGTTAACTGTTCTGTTTCAATGTTTTTGATGGTATTGAAATTTTGATACATGAGAGAATGGGAGATGTTTTGGTCCTAGCCCTCTCCAAGACAGTATTGCCCATTCATAGATGTTTACTTGCTTCGTTTTGGTTATTTGACAGGTCTACTTTCTTTGGAAGAGGTTTGTGTAATCTGCATTTAAGTGCCCTCGTCGGATATGTTACTTGATGACATGATAAATCACATGCGCAATAGCGGGAGAGGTAGAGGACAAGGCAGGGCCCGACGTGGTCGAGTACTAGGAGGGTCATTCAAAGGTGGAATGACAGGGGCACCGCACAGAGGACCACACAGAGGTCCACTCAGGGTGAATGCTCAGCCATCATCTAATGCCATTGCCAAGGCAAGCTTGAAACCATGGATGTCTTATTCATTTGCTAGCAAATCTCATATGCTATAGAAACCAAAAAAAAGGACCTCTAATACTGTTTTAAAAACCCGAACTTGAGACGATTTGTGACATTATTTTTGGTCACAGAGAAGCTCACTTTGGCTTGGCCACAAGAAGAGTGCCTTCGTCTTACCATGTGCGTGTATCATGACATCTTCTCAGTTTGTTTCTAATGGTGGGTTTGCGATGGATCTCATTCATATATGGTGGCATCATTGAGTTATAGTGCTACTTCATAGCATTTTTTTTTGCAAAGGAGCTTCAATAATTTAACTTACGAATTTGAGCTCTCGCCAATATAACATTTCCTAACAACTTGTGGGGTTCAAACTTCTATGGTTCTCTAATTAATTTATTTAGAAACCTAAACGTGAGAGCATCTGTGATATTATTTTTTGGTCATGGAGAAGCTCACTTTGGTTCAGTCACAAGAAACACTGTTGTCTTACGGTGTACTTGTACCATGATATCTTCATATGGTTTGTTCGTAATCGTGGGTTTGTGATGGATCTCATTTGTATATGTTGGAAAGTTCAATCCTCATTGAGTTATATTGCTACTTCACAGCATTTTTTCGCAAAGGAGCTTCAATAATTGAGCATTTGAGGTTGAGCTCTCGCCAGTATAACATTCCCAAACTACTAGTGGGGTTCCAATTTCTACACGTTCCCTAATCCTTACTATTTAGTCGCAATTACTTTAGTCCGTGATTACTGGTTGTCTAGACTGAGAGTTTGTGGTGGATCCTCTTGCTGTATGTGGAATTTCTTTGGAGAAAGATTCTCAGTTACTACCTTAGATCATGGCCTTTTAAGCAAAGGAGCTTCCTTCGCTGAACTTCAGAGCTGGAGCTCACCTGTAGCATAGTGCTTGTTTATATGCAGTGGGTCAAATCCTCTACTCTCATCCAGAATCCGCATTATGTAGCTCAGTTTTTCCTTGATATTAGATTACTTCATTGTTGAGCACTTCAACATGTCTGAAATCTGCTGCCGATGTCATGGAAGTTTTTGCTGATATCTGATTTACTGTTGAAGAATGGTAAATTATTGTACTTTATGGTCCTATGCTGACATTTCCAAATCTGGATTGCTTTTTCTATATGCTTGCATCAGTCTTTCCACGGAGCGAAGAGTTTTCCATGGCGGCATGATTTGTTCGAAGACAGCCTTAGAGCTGCTGGGTTAACTGGAGTTGAAAATGGCACAAAGTTATTTGTTTCAAACTTGGACATTGGAGTGACCAATGAAGATATAAGGGTACAATTTTATCCATACATTTTTGCAGTAGATGTGTCTTTGTAATGGATTTCTTAAGTTCTGTTTTGGAAATTGCCTTGCAACTCAGGAACTTTTCTCTGAGATTGGAAAACTGAAACGATATGCAGTTCATTATGACAAAAATGGTCGCTCAAGTGTAAGTGTTCAAGCTTAGTATCTATGCTATTATTCTGTTCTAGTATGACTTGTTAAATGCATAAGTTTTGGATACTGTTTCTCTTTGTTTGGTCAAAATGCATTTTTCATTTTTCTTTTTGGATTTTCTTTGGGGGGTGCTGAGGAGAGGATGCAAGCTATTAATGAGTGTACATTATGTATGGTAAATGCTGAGGCAGTTTTGTTGCCCTTTAACGCCTGTTAGCATATCTGCTTGATCAAGTAGGCATGCTATATAGTGAATGGAGAGATGATCCAACGGAGTTAAGAAAGCGTGTGGGCATTTGCTAAGGGACCTGAGAGAAGCTTATGCACATAATAATTTTTGGGGGTGAATTCTTATTCCACGTGAACTTAAAATGCCATCAAAATACGGAAAAAGTACGAAGTTGTAAAAACATAATTGAGGTAGTAGTAGTAAACGAGAGTGTTTTGGTTGCCATTGGATTCAAACTAATTTCACGTACCCAGTTCCCATATATTTGAGTGTTAATGTTTTGCATTGACTGACCTCTCTGTGAACAATTCTCCATCATATAGTTTTTGGATGCATCTTATATATGTAATACCCACTTTTTTGGTATTTACATTATGGAGAATTGTGTCTTCCATATTGTCATCTTAATGGAGCTAGGTACCTGTGTCACTGTGTGACACCAGATTCTCCTAGATGTCTTGTCATTATCTAGTTAATGCTTTGGAAACTTATGTATTTGTTTAAATTGAACTTGTTAGACAATGGCTATATGCTTGAACTCAATGTTGACTTGACGCAAATCTTCTTCCAGGAATTTAAATTTTGCATTGCTACACAACAAAACAAAAAAAAATTCATTAGAATGCATCTCCAATCTCAGAATTTACTTTTGGAAGATTATTATGCTGCATTGCATGGAATTTTAGTGGTGTCAGATCTGTCTTAGCTTCATATCTTCACTCACGGGTAGAACTGAGTAAAATATCACTTATTCTCCTTCTATATCTTGTTGGAAATGAGGATTTAGATCGCCTCTCTCTGTCACTCTTTCTCCCTCTCTCCCTTTCTCCCTTTTTCCCTTTTTCTTTCTATTTCTCTATTATATATATGCTATGAAGCATGGATACTCCAAAAAAGTTCATGTATGCGTGTCAGATATGTATTAGATACGGATATGCATCCGATATGGCCAAATGCACCTGTAGGGACTAGTGCGTGAGACCACGATCCACAAACTGACGCATGGGACTCCTCACCCTTTACATGGGAATGGATAGGGGAAACATTGCATGTCACAAGAGCAAGGCGAGGTTTGGAACCCTACTGAGGGAGGGATGCCTTGCAAGCTGGGCTTCTGGAGATGAGGCCATGTATTAGATACAACCGAAGAGTATCCTAAAATTATTTTTTTATCTTTTCAATTTTGGATACGTCTTGGATGTGGGAAGGATACATTGATATGTTCAAGATACGGGAAAGATATGTCTAGGATACAACCGGTGGTAAAACATAATTTTTTAAAGATTTTAATAGGGTTCTAAGTGTAAAATTACAAAATTTAATGCAAGCAAAAAAATACCTAGCATATTTTGCTACTTTAGTACTTGTAGAATGATCAAATGAAGAAAAAAAGAAGAAACTTTAGCTGCTATGGAGACAAAGATATGAAAAGAAATGAATCAGCACTGTTAGCCTCTGTAGGTCTCTTCGAAGGAGAGAAATAAGCAAGAGTTGACATTGAATATTTTTAGCTTTATACAAATATCTTTAGCTTGCTTTTGGATTTGCTATGCATGGAATTAATATCTGATATTAACTAAATAAATGAACTCTTATTTTGATTTTATTTTTATGCATACTATATTATTAAAAATTATATTCATATATATATTTACAAATGTATCCTTTGTTGTATCCGTATCTTACTTTTATATGTTTTGTCGAATAGTCGTATCTTTATCAGCGCTTCCTCTGTGTGTGTGTGTGTGTGTATATAAGAGCATCTTTAGTGGTTGATACCAAAATGGCAAATGTCAACCAAATTTTGGCATGCTACAGTGCCATATAATGCTGTAATAAGGCAATTTTACTCTAATGGTGTAAATGTCATTCCTTCAATTTCTCACAAAATACCAAATGAAATGTTGTTTGTGGGTCCTATCATGAGAGATGGAGAGAAAATACTTTGCCAAATTTAGGCAATGCCATTATTTGGCAAGAAGAATGGCAGAATACTATTGGAGAGGTTTTTGGAGAAGTCTTGCTGCAATTTGGCTTTAGCATATGTTCTAGCACCCCACTTGAGATATTCTAATATACCCAGAGGAATACTTTTGATGATGTGCCCATGGGGGCACTTGTAACCTGGTGACTCTTCCCTCAATACACCACCTTGAGGTTCAGCGTTGTTGATGTTCTTATCAGTAATAAAGGCATGCCTTTTGGTGACATGATGAATTGTTTGTTTCCCATGACGATGTTGTGAATTGTGGGGTATTATTTGATTTTTTCAACACATTAACAAATTGGTGGGTGGACTACGGAAGATGGGACTTTTTTGGCATGTCTTCTAAATGCATCTCTGATTTTTGGAATGTGCATGCCAAAGTATTGTATATGAAAAATAGTGCAGACATTTTAGTGTCTTGCTGTTGCTTTACATTCTTCTTGTTCTTCCTACTGGATTTGGTTTGTTTAGTGGGAAATGCTTTGGTCATCCCTGTTGGGATAGTTGCATAGTTGGGCGATCATGGGTTTCTTCTCTCTCTCTCTCTCTCTCTCTCTCTCTCTCTCACACACACACACACACACACACATCATGTCAGTGTTGCAGTCACACGATTATTTTAGTTTGACTTTGTGGTTTTATAACTATAACTGGTCTGGGTTGCATAGTGCTAACTTCACTTATCTACAGGGTTCTGCCGAAGTAGTATTTGCCCGAAGAAGTGATGCATTTAGAGCTCTTAAGCGATATAACAGTGTACAATTGGATGGAAAACCTATGAAGGTTGAAATAATAGGCACCCACTCAGAGATTCCTGTTTCGGCTCATGTCAATGTAGTTGGAGGTGTAAATAGGAGGAGGAGAGTTGTTATGATGTATGTATTCTCTCTCCCTCTCTCTCTCTGGTTTTTTTCTTTATCATTATCCAGCCTTTTTTTTTTCTTTTGGCAGTCATTTATGTTGGGCTTAAATTTACAAACTAGCAGGTAAATGTAACATCGACAAACAAGGGAAAAAAATTAAGTGGTGCAAGTCAATGACTAGCTCATCCCTCTGATGTTTGAGTAACACTTGTTTGGCTGATGATCAAAGGTTCAGAACTTCAGGATATTATCCATGCTGTTGAATATTTTCCTATCTTGCTTGAGGGGAGTTAGGGACCGATTCAAACTCAGTGGTTTACTGTGAACTTTGTTTTAGCACTCTTCAAGCTTAGCTAATAAGTTCATATCTTTGTGGTGTAAGCAACAATTCATGTTCTACTGTAGTTTTAACTTTTAAGTTGCAGGAGACGTATTGCAGTTTGTTGTTTCTAACTTCTCAGGTTCAAGTCAGGAAAAAAAATCTAAACAAATAGGGATAGTGATACGTACTTTTTGCCGTCCCTAGATCTTGCTTTAGTAGGAGCCTTGTGCACTAGGCTGTCATTTTTTTATGGGCATCTGTTTTCTTTACTTTTTATTTTCTCTGCCGTTGAGTTGTCTACTTGTTAGTTCCTATAGTGAGATTGTGTTTCCATCATTGTTTGGTTTCATTAGTACTTGTGGGGTTCATTATTGTCTACAAGGGAAAAAAAAAAAGGAATGATTTAAAGTTGTCCCCCTTTTTTTTAAATTGAAAATGCAATTGACATTTATTGTTTAAAGATCAATTTGTATACAGTAGTGGTGATTTTGACAAAAAAATTGATACCCCGGTTTCATTTGTGAGCATTTTTTTTACAATGGTCTCTATTCTTGTATAGAGACAATAAACCGAGTGCTTTGGGATGAATGCCTATTATCTCAAACTGCTATTGTTTATTTGTTAACATTTTTTTTTAATTAATCTGCATTTACTGTTGTAGCAATTGCACTACTGAGACTTTGATGTCTTGCAGGCCAGGAAGTCGTGTTAGAGGCTCTGTTGCAGTTAATCGCGGTTATGGGTAAGGCTTCTTTAAGCAAATTCCTTAGTTCTGTGCCTTTTATGGAAGAACTCTCTGTATGCATGACATGTCTATGTTCTTTGGAGCTATCTTGGACTGTTGTAAATAAGTTTTTAAATGCTGTAGTACTCTTTTTTCTGCCCTTATAACATTCTATAATATTAATGGAATTGAATGTGAGAAAGAATGCGAACATGAACTACTTTTTTTTTTTAAAGTATGAGAAGTTCTTTTCTACACATTTGCCATGCAGTGTACAGGCCTGGGTTAAACAAAAATGGGATGATCTAAGTTTAGTTTGGCTTGGGTTTAAATAACTGGTTTTTAAAGCTAAGCTGAGTGTTGGTTTGCTCAATTTGAAACTTGTTCATGGGTGTGTAGCTTGTTGAATTTGTTTTTTAAATACTCTCCAGCATTGGACTTGTTAATTTTTTTTACTTACAAGTGTCGTTGGTTTGTAGCGTAAGATCCATACTTCTAGGAAGCTGTTAAGTGTAACCCCTTGTGGTATCTTTTTTTCATGAGCTCAATTTTTCTTGGTAGTCATCTTGCCTAGATATTATAAGGGGAAAAAGTATAAGTGAAAGTCGGAATTAATTAGTATCTGTAAGAACCTCTATTTGATTAGCATGCTTGCATGTTCATCATTTTTTTCCCTCACTGTAATATCTGTTGAGTAAAGTACACCCAATTTAGTTACCATTGGATGGGGTCTGGCCGGGGTAGATTGGGTATATAACTTTTTAGCATAATTTGCTCCGAATAGCTGCATTTAGGCTCTCGAACTTACAACAAAGTTTTTAATACCTTGTCTACCTACTGGAAATGATTTCTAGTGTATCAATTGTAACTCATATACATGGCTTTAGTTCACTTGTTGCTTTGTCTCTTTGCAGTCAGAGGAACCGTGGAGATTTGATGAATGGCCGTGGCCGTGGCCATGGCCGTACTGGTGGGCGAGGCCGTGGTGGTGGTGGGAGGAAGAAAGCTGTAGAGAAGACGTATGATGAACTTGACAAGGAACTGGAGAACTATCATGCAGACGCTATGCATACATAAAGAACCTTTTAAGGTCTCTGCAGAAATGCAAATAATGTTGGTTATAGTATTTGCAATGCTGGGCTGTACAAAAATTTTAGATGGTTGACTGCTTTCAGTGGTTTGTTCCCCTTGTTGGATGATGGATGCTTTGCATTTTTTATTTGATATAATAATATACAAATCTTATTATTATGGTGGTATGGTCAAATCTTATTTGTATAAGAACAATACTCACTAGATATTTTCGTAAGGAGACGGATGTTTCTATCCTCTAGGCTTGAAGGGTGTCTCAAAAGGCACCCTTTGAATTGTCTCCCCATGGTGGCTTAGTAGATCATTCCTCCCCCCGGGGCTTCATTCTGTTGGTCATGGTTGTCTGAATAGTTCGCAATATGGTTCGTACGATTCAATTCGCAATACGGTTCGTACAATTCGATATGATTTTTTTATAAAACGATTCGAATTGAGTACTTGAATCGTAAATTTAATGGAATCATGCGATTCAAAGTAAGAATCGTAGGAATCGAAGTGAATTGCTGATACATACGATACTTAAGATTTAAATTTCATTTTTTTTTCCCTTGTCCAGATTTGTTAAACGATGTCGTTTGACCTCGTCAATTCATAAAAAAAATTTAAAAAAAAGAAGGAAAAAAGAAAAAGGAATAATAAATAGAAGAAATCATTTGAAGAACAAATGAAAAACTCAAGCTAGGGCTTGATTGAGAGAGAGATGAATCAAAGAAAGGAGACAAACCTAGTCGAAGAAGAAGATTTTCAAATCTACCAGTGAGAAATCTGGAGGTGTGTAAAGAAATAGCTAGAAATGAATCTTCTTCTACTCATTGTCGGTCTCACTGCTCAGTATTCTCTCTCGGTATTCAAAAAATCAATGTGTGAGTTAGCTTTTTTTTACCATAAAGTCTCCTTGTGGGGTCTTCTTCTGGGTGAGAAAACATTAAGGTAATGGGTATTTTTTTAATGTTACTGTAAGGCTCCACACCACTATTCTCCTTTAATATATAATATAATATAGAAATTATATATTTGTCCTTATTTGATTAATTTTGATTCTTTGTTGATTCTTTATTCACTATTAATGGTTTTAATTTTCACTTGTCATTATTGTCTAGTTGTTTATTATTTTCTTGTGTGTGAAATTTTATTTATTAATTTATTTTAAATTCTGTAGATATTCTTGTGAATCAATAGTGATAAAAAGGTCAAAAAAAGTGGCTTACCTAATATGGGAACACTGTACAAAAGTTACAGAACAATGATTGTTACTTTTTTTTAAACTTTTGGAGCTTCCTTTTAAATCAATGAAACAATGATGCATGAAATTTATATTCAATTGTTATTTTTTTTTTTATTTTAAGCACTATATTTGTGATTTTATATGTATATAAATATGTATATATATTTTTTATAAAAAAATATATATAGTGTTGTGAGTCTTACGATTCACGATTCAATTTTTAAAAAAATACGATTTACGATTTGATTCGCAATTTGATAACCCCATCCTTTTACGCTATGTTTGGATTGAGTGATTTGGAGAGAAAAGAAAAGAAATAGAGAGATATGTATTTCTCTTACTTGTTTGGATAACCTAAGTGGAGAGAAATGAGAAGAAATTGAGAGAAATAGAGAGACTCATTTCTCTTATGAGCCTCATTTTCAATCTTTCCAAAAGTGGAGAGATTGGGAGAAAAAAGAAACCACTATTTTCATAATACCAATTTTGTCCCTATAAAAATAAAAGAAATAAAATGATTGAAAATATAAAAAGGTTATTTTAGTAATATAACATAAAATAATTTCTTTTCTTTTCTTTTAATGAAATCTAACCAAATAAGAATAAGAGAAATCACAATCATTTCTTTTCTTTTATTTATTTCTTATCCAAACAAAAAGGTGAGAAATCACAATCATTTCTTTTCTTTTCTTTTCTCTTATAACTTAAGTAATCATTTTTTTTCTTTTCTTTTCTCTTCTAGATTCCCAAACATAGTATTAGTATCTAAGGAAAGAATTAGAATAATTATAGTGGTGTTTACGAGAGGTTTGACTTTGGAAAACCTAAAAAATTGCATTTGGAAATGAAAAGATTGGAACTTGGACCGTCTTCAACAAGTTTTTTTCTTTAAAAAGCTCAAATTAGGCATTTTAGTTGCAAAAATGTTGGCTCTAAAAATTTTATCAAAAATTTTACTAAATGTCTCATATGGGTGTGAGATTCACATGAGATTCACATTGTGTGGGTTCCATACCTATATGAGACATTTAATAAAACTTTTAATAAAATTTTTGAGATCTCTAGTATTACTCTTTTAATTGGCCTTCGTTCTTCAACAGGAAGTCAATTTTATTTTTTATTTTTTGGACTCATCCTTTCAAAGCTTTCTAGCTGTCTAACATTTGAAGTTGAAGTACATTTGAAAAGCATAGAGACTCCACAAACCATGGAGTAAATGCTAGCTAAAGGAAATATTTGTTTTTAGTATTTTAGATAGTTAAAATAGAGAATAGTGTGTATTTTCAACCCACAAGATAGATAATGTTCGTTAGTTAAAATGTCTATGGTATGACTTATTTTTTTTAATTCCAATACACTAGGCATATAAGTAGGTATTTTTGTCCAAATTTGCATTCACTAGCTAAATGTAACTAATTTCAAAAGTTAAGGTAAAAAATTATTTGACCCTTATGATCTTTTTCCTCTATCTTTGTTACTGTGACATTTTGTAAGTGAGTAATATTTGGATGAATAACACAAATTAAAAAGCAAAATTAGAGTGAAAGCATAAAAAAATAATAGGTAAAACACCTAATAGCATTGGAGATGTGCTTAGAGTTGCTCAAGCTCCATCCTAAAGGCACCTAATGATGAAGTTGTCTTTGGGGAATTCACCAATGTTTAAAACCCTTGTAACATCACCTCCAAATTTATTTCTAATGATGAAGTGAATTGTTTAATGTTAGTTGTTAATTTGTTTAAGATTAATTAACTAGAGCATCTCTTATGGTGAAGTTAAAAAAGTTTGTTAAATGTGTTATATGATAAAAAGTGTAAAAAGTAATATCTATTTGTATGTATTAAGTGTTTTTTAATTTAGAGAGTAAATGTGTATTTCAATAGTATAGTTAACATATGTATTAAGTGAAATTTATATAACACATTTAACAAACTTTTTTACATGTATATATACTCTATCCGTCCCATTTTATTAGTCTATCTTTTCATTTTAATATGTCCCAATACGTTTGTCCACTTTCTACTTTGAGATACTAATTTTGTTAGATTATCAAAATTACCCCCCTATAAATCATTATAAACACATTTCAAAATTCAAATAAAAGGACAATAGTGAAAAAAATATTTTAAAATTTAAATTAAATATAATAACAATCTTGCTGCAGACCCCCAGTGGGGACCCCCACTGAGATGGCGAGCCCCCACTGGCTGAAACTCAAAAAAAAAAAATAAATAAATAAAACAGTTTTTTTTTTATCCAATCACGGCGCGCCACCTCACTGTGGGTCGACCCCCAGTGGGGGTCCGAAGCATTTTCATATAATAATTACATATCTCCTTTATAAGTTACTATTTTCCATAATGGGCAAACAAATTGAGATGGAAAAAGTAGATGTATAGACGAAATAAAAAGAAATTAAAAAAAATAATTTGGAACTCACTCTCTCTCTTTCTTCTTGTTAATGTTGATGAGAGATCTCTGCCAGGAGACTGGCAACTCCTCGGGCAAGCCATTCTATCTCCCTCCTCCATCTTTCTCTATCCACTGTGTTATCTTGCTCTCTATAATTAGCTTCTATCCTAACATTAGTGTTGGTGGCAACATGAAGCTCTAAACAGAGCTTTATACACTTGACAATAAAAAAATAAATAAAAATATCACATCACATGAAACTTATTGTACCTTAGCTCCATTAGAACTTTTATGTTAATGCTCTAAAACATTTTTGACACAAAAATTACACCCAAGTTAATTACCTGTCACATGTCAACTAATACTGACTACCAATAAGTTTAGCAAATCATTGGAGATGATTAAGACCCAATACCCTGCCGCACTAGTGTAGATAAATTTACAAGTAATATTTTAAGATGTCTAGTATTACTAAAAATAGCAAATGCAGACGAAATGATGACAGCAAGTAAAATCAAATAATATAATATAAATACAGATCCTTTTTTTTTTTTTTTCTGGTAAACTAAATACAGATTCTTTACAAAACAGATCAAAAACATTAGCATCCTGCTGTAGTTCTCTGCAATTTAAAGTGTAAAACTACCCCTCATGAGTAGGGAACCCAGGGTTGAACATAATTCTGCCAATGTCAATACTTTTTGCAGATAATGTAGAAGCTAGAGGCATGAAAAAATGAAGAAATTTGTTTAAGAGCTCAAAAACAATGAGCTCTAATAGCTCTAAATACACTGTAGCTCCAATTGATTTGATGTTTTGCTCTTTGTTTTTTTTTGTTTTTATTTCCTGCACTGCCAGCTCATTAGAGTTGGCTTAGTGCTCTCTTTTTAGTGGTATATATCACCACTGAAAAATGAATATATGACAACAAAAGAATCAGGAGCAAAATACTCTTGTAGAAGATCTAACCTCTACTGCATAAATTTTCGATAAACAATAAAGACCTTGAGGGAGAAAAGACTTGTTAATTTGAAGCAACTGTGGATCTGTATCTTTCTTCTTCAGTAGTTCTCAGGATTCATTCTTCTTGAAAAGCTTCTTCTCAACCACCATTTCCCATTTAGTTCTTCCACCACTGGACATCGACTTAGTTTTCATCTCATTCTCCGAAGACTCAGCATCATCCCCATCTCCACCATCTTTGGATTCCTCTGCATGGGTAGTTGCAGCATGAGGTATGTTCAAACTAACAGCTCTTTCCAAAGCGTCCTTGTGTTCTTTTTCTATCGTCTGCAACCTCTCCATTTTTGGTACTCTTGGAGCTGCTGTCGTCGTCTCATAATGATTCTCCCTCATTCTCTGTGTTAATGTATAAGTTCAACTGGTAAATTTTTCATCAAAACATTTGTGAACACTTTGCTTACCTATAACATCCACGACCAATCACGGTATAAGGTGGCCTCAGATAAAAATTACTTTTACTAATTCGATGATTTATGCATATGCATATGCTTAAAAACAAAAGTCATTCATGCACATCTATGCTACTGTGTAGAATCTTTCAAATGTCAACAGAAATTTGTTAAGAGCCAGATATTTTATAGCTACGAATATGTATCAAAAAAATATATATATTTCATAGCTAAGAATCTTAAAGCAGGCCTTAGCAAATAGCTTTAACTCAAAATCCACTGGAATGCAAATGAACACATTATATTGTTTTATAAAAACAGCTGAAGTGTATTGGGTTGGGGATCTCTAGATTGAACCATTTTCCCTCGCCCGGTGCTGCTTTTCATTTCCCCAACAAAAGGGAAAAACCAAAGAAATAAGAAGCTTGGCCTCCCCCCTTTATTTTCCCCAAGGAGAAAAAAAGAAAGGGAGAAAGAAATAAGAAATCAAAAACAATGCGTGGCTGAGTTTTATGTTTACACCCTTAAAAAAATAGACACAAACATGCACGCAAAGAGAGAGAGAGAGAGAGAGAGAGAGAGAGAGAGAGAGAATAAATATCAAATAAAAGGGCAAAATTTGTTCATTATGGTAGTTAGTTTATTGTCCATGGTAGTTCAAGTAAATAAAAGAGGCCTCACAGGAAAACCAATTCGCAGTCCTATGCTGAAAGCAACAAATATTCCCTCATATGCTAATATTTGTTAGTTTTTCTCTGATACAATAATCACTAAAAAACAAAAACTTGTTTACTATTATTTTTAAATATAACTATTATAAAAAAAGAAAAAAGAAAAAGAGAGAGAGTAATTGATTACATATAACGACATGGACAGATGTACCATAATAAAATGCAGGAAAATTGATTACACATAGGTTTACAGCATGATGCATGAAATTCATATTGCAACCATCAACAGCAAAGCCAGTTAAAATGCTTCCGAAAAACTCTGACAAATATCACAACACTATTCACAAATTTGTTTGACACGACAAACATCCAAGGGAAAAGCACTAAAAAGACCATATCAAAAGGTAATTATGACCTACCAATTTTTTTTAAAATTTTAATCATAAATGACAACCAGAGGATTTGATTAGCATTACGGAGAAGGCAAAGAGTTCAACACAAGCAGTTCCATTCCAAAGAGGAGAGTGTATCTGCCATGTTTGGGAACCAAACATTTTAGCCAAAAAGCCACTATAAGATGTCAAATTATTCTCTCTACTTTTTTGCACGTCCTTTTGTAAGAAGCCAAAAAGCCACTAAAAAAAGTCAATTCTCAAACGAGCAATTACAAGAGACAGAAATTTGTCAAATTGCTGTCTGTGATAATCTTTGGGATTTTGATTGAGTTCCATTCAGCAATGAGAGTGTCTAAGGTCCATGGTGAGACAAGGGATGCAACCCCCCGCAGCAAAAAAAAAAAAAACAGAAACAATCTTTTGTGTGTATAAAAATACACCTTATGTATATGATAAAAAGAATATGGCCAAACAACCAAAGAGTAAAATTGATTTCTACTTACTTCAAGAGCCTTCTCTGCTTCTCTTTCTATCCAAATAATTGCATGATCGGATGTGGCATTGCATGATAAGACAATATGTTCAAATCTTCCATCTACTGGTATGGCAGTTTTAACCTCTGGAGGATATCTCCCACATCTGTGTGCAAGAAGCAACGGAGGTCTTAGTTTCAGAGCAAGCACAACTATTTTTGCTAGCAAATTTCAAACAAACTTCTTAAGATAAAAAAGAAGAAAAAAAAAAAAGCTTCTTAAGCACTGAAAAAAGAATATGGCCAAACAACCAAAGAGTAAAATTGATTTCTACTTACTTCAAGAGCCTTCTCTGCTTCTCTTTCTATCCAAATAATTGCATGATCAGATGTGGCATTGCATGATAAGACAATATGTTCAAATCTTCCATCTACTGGTATGGCAGTTTTAACCTCTGGAGGATATCTCCCACATCTGTGTGCATGAAGCAACAGAGGTCTTAGTTTCAGAGCAAGCACAACTATTTTTGCTAGCAAATTACAAACAAACTTCTTAAGATAAAAAAGAAGAAAAAAAAAAAGCTTCTTAAGCACTGAAATTACACGACAATTGACTTCGAGTACAGGAAACCTATTTATGATAGAGGATTTTTTCAGTCATTGAACATTCTTAAGCAAATAATAGGAAATTTTCCAAAATACAAAATTAAGGTGTATTGGCCACTACCAGCATTTGATCTGGATTTATATGGCCATACTGAGAAAAGGAATTGCCATGAGGAATTCTTCTACATACTAGGCATAACTCAGATTGTATAATGCTCATTATCACTAACCTAGACAGAAGAAAAATACTTAATACTAGGCATAACTCAGATTGTATAATGCTCATTATCACTAACCTAGACAGAAGAAAAATACTTATCACTAATATAAATTCCAAATTTGATCACGTAAAATATTGCCTCTCAAATTCTTGTATGGTAGTTAGAATTTATGAACTTGTTTTTATTTACCATTAGTCATGACATTTGTGATGTTTGGTTGAGATTTGCCTTGTTTGCAATTGCTTTGATAGGGCTAAGAACTCTTTTAGTTTTTCATGGCCTTTCATATCTAAACTCTAATTTTGGGGCACTTTCTTTAATTTTCATGGAAGATCTTGGAAAGTGTCTTAGTTTGTTTGGGAAGTTTCTTAAATCAACTTTTTGGAAAGTTTCCATTTTTAGAAAGTTTAAACAAGAGAAGATTCTTAAATTATTTTTGGAAAGTTAAACTATGAAGGTTTCCTAGCCTATCATTGCATGTTTATGATGTGTTATTTTCCTTTTTGGGCTTATTTTATCTTTATCTTTAGAAACAATAGATACCATACCAAGTAGAGGCCAATATTTGGTTGGGCAAAAACGGATGCCTAACATCTTCCCGCTTTGTACCTTAGCCCTTGAGTCTATGTGATGATGACGATTAGGCATTATCTCCATTTTTAACCAAGTGGATACTCTTTTCTGATTTGAAAGTCTAGTTCTCTGTGAGTTGCGTTGGTTTGCATAAGATGTCGAGAGAGGGACAATATGAATTAAAATTGGCCTTCTCACAATTTTAAATCAGTATGTCTCTTTCCATAGGATTGAAATAGGGTATGGCTGACAAACTGACACTCTAGAGTGGCAGATCTAGGCAAGTTTTACAGTTGCACTTCAACTGAATTACAAACTGCCAAAAGGAAGCAGCAATAATGGGTCCACTTATAACTGAAATGCAGTTCTGTGCAGAGAAAAAAGGCAGCTGCAATGTGAATCAATTATGAGATTTGTAATTGTTTGGGGAGCTAAGCAAGGTAATTTTTGATAAATCCTATAATAATCCTAATAAGATTACCAATGGTTCTGATTTACCTGCAAAATTTCCTTTCGACAATATGATATGTTCTTCCAGGTGCATACAGTCTTGTAGGATCTCTAAACTTCCTACCTGCCGGTATGAAGGTATCCCTCAAGCAAACCGCAAATAATAAGCAGGGCAAACTGTCCAAAGCATTATTAATGCCCGGTTTAAGAGATAATAACAAACAAGGTAGAAAACCCCAAAAAGTAAACAAAAGATTCAAACAGTTTTACGCTGTGTTTGTTTGGGGATTTGGAGAGGGATTTGGAAAGGGAAAGGGAAAGGGAAAAGGTGCGTGAAATTAGGTGAAATATAGGCATATTTTATTCACATTTCACCTATCTTTTCCATTTACCTTTCCAAATCTCTCCTCAAATCCCCCAACCAAACACAGCATTAGTGTTATATCATATATAAAAGGAACACAACTCACCATAAGATAAATTTAAAAATATCTTCCAAGGGGTTTGGTGTTCTAGGGAAGAAATCATCCTGGAAAAACATTAAATTGAGGTGGCATGGTTAGTTCACTAAATTGGAACAAAATTTATGGATGACATGCAGGCAGGCAGGCAGGCTCCAAAATCATTATATTTAAGATGAAAGTAAACTAACAAGAGTCTCCATCAAGCAAATTCCTGACCTGCAAAATGACAGAATGTATAACATCGGCATACTTGACAGCCAAATTGAGAGACATACACCTTGCAGGTGCTACGGCATAGCAGTAGACGGTATCTCTGGGAATACCACCAAGCTCCTTCCGGTGGTTCACCACGATCACCGTCAACAACGCTGCCACCCCTGCCCCCAGTGAGTGTCCCGCAAAAATAATCCTGTATGAGGACCCATTTTCAAGCCACAATCGCTTCAGAGTCTCCGATTCCTTGTTGAGCAACCAAATTGCAGATTTCAAAAGGCCGTGGTGGACGAACCCTCCGTCGAACATCTGCATACCCAAGCCGTTGTCAAGAAGGAGCTTGTAGTCGCTCTCTTTGATCAAATTGAGGCCACGGATGGCGAGAACAATCTCGCGGTGGTGGTGGTCGAGGTAGATGATGTAGGGAGGGGCGTTGCCGTGAGTCTGCTGGTAGGTGAGGCGCTTGATGACACAGTCGGGGTTGAGGCGGTAGCCGCCGGATGGAGGGAATTGGGGGTGGCGGAGGTCGTCCTCGTAGACAGCGAGAATGAGACGGCAGATGCGGGGGACTGCCTCGAACTCCTCGGCGGTGGCAGGGGGCCAGGTGGCGCTGTCGTAGGACCCGATGTAGGTGCAACGCTTGCACGCCCACTGGAGGCAACCCAGCAGCTGCAGGCACATTGCCTTTTACCCAGTGTTTGCTTGGGAACTTGGGAGGAGATTTGAAACACTGGCAACTTGGCAGGAGATTTGAAAAACGAATGAAAAACACAGCCGTAGAGAGAGAGAGAGAGAGGGGGGAAGAGTGAAGAAGTTGTTCATTAGGAGGGAGGTGGTTAGCTGTGGCGGTGGCGGTGGCGGGGGAAGAGCTTGAAGAGGCTTGTTGGCGTCATGCAGAGGGTATTTGTTGCTAGTACTTTGCTCTGTTAGAGAGAAAGAGAGAGATTCGTGGTTATTTTACTCATTTCGATTCTTCGCTGTGTTGAGGAGTATTTCGGAAAGTGATCCAAAGGTAATTATAGAGAATAAAAAAGTGTTTGAAAAATATATTTTAATCAACCGTGCTGGAGACCCCAGTGGGGTGACCCCAGCACCCCCACTCCACATGGGCCTCTGTAATTGGTAGATAAAAAACAAAAAAAAAAAAAAAAAATTCAGCCAATAAGAAAACACTGAGGGTCACTGGGAGTTTGAAAAATTGGGGTCCAAATCATTTTTGTATTTTAATTCTTATTCTTCTGCCCTCGACATGTAATTGAAAATCGCGGTGATAGATATACCAATTAGTTATGAAATTATTATTACAAAAATGATTTGGACCATTAAAAAAGAACCTCTAATGCATCTCTAATTTGTCTTTTTCTTCTCTCTTTTTTGTCTTTTACTTCACTGTTTTTTTTATTTTTTTTATATATAGGTGACAGCTCATTAGAGCTGCACTTTTGCAGCTCTAATTAGAGCTCCAGAGCATGACCCATTATTATTAATTCTACCTATAAATTATATTATAAATTTTAAAAAAAATTTAAATTATGTCACATTATCAATTGATATACTATTTAATACAGTAATTAGTACATATAACATTATTTAATTAAAAATAATTCATAATTTTAAATTTAAAGTTCTAATAATGATTTTAATAATGTGATACGAAGTAAAAAAGTAAAAAATAAAATATAAATCAAATCATTCATAAATAAAATTAATTGTTACTGTGTGGGTAGAAATCTGACCAAACTGCCCGTTTAGTGATCAGCAGCAGAGCACCGGTAGAATAGATGGCTTTAGCAACCTGTAACAGAAAGAAAAAGCTCCGGCGGTGGTTCTTCCACCCGGGGGTACTCCGACGATCAAGTCAGTATGTTTCTCAAGAATAATCAAGTACTAAACTGAATATTCAAAGTACGAATTGCATACCTTAGACCCACGGGGGTGCCTCTCTTTTATAATATACTTAATCCAAGTCCAACTAGAAGTATGACTTCTATGAATTCCAATCTTAGTGCTTACTCTGGACTCTTTAAGAGATAGAGATAAACTCCCTAAGAGCTTTATCCTTATCTTAACTAAGTCCCCTCTTTGCCTCAGGACTCTTGTCCCTTATCTTCGGATTCCGACATCTTCGGAGATGACCTCGGCTTTTCCAAGATTACCTCGGCTTAACTATCAGGGCACGTGGCACCTCGGCTGACACGTCGGCGTCACCATGCCACGTGTTGATATTCAGAAAATATGTCCCTACAACTTTGAATAGCCAATGGACGAGACCTAGAGACGAAATTTTAATATAGTGGGAAGGGTTATATATTAATAAAAATTGAAAAAAAAATGATATATTAATTTTCTTTTATATTAAATTAGGTACTATTAGTATAATTTAGGGATATTTACCAATAAATCTTATCTCATAAGTACTCTAATTAGTCTCAAGTTTTTTTATTAATCCATTAAGTCTTATTAGTGGAGAGTTTCTTTCCGTATGGTCCTATTTTTTATTTTGGTAGTATTTTGGTGGACAACTATACCCTTTTATTAATATGATAGGTATGCTGTAATGCTCCAATAGGACAAGTATGAATGTGACACTCAAACGATGTGACAGTCCAAAAAAAATTAAAAACTACTTTTTCTAAATGTGACAACATCTCGGATATGATGTGACACCAAAACTTTTACTCAAAAAAAAATAAAAAATTCCTGAGTATACTTTTTTCAAATGTGATAACGCGGTGGTATGATGTGACATTTCAAAAAAAGTAAAATTTCTTCTCTGGAACTGTTCTTAGTCCTGTATTCTTGCAAAGCCTTCTTTGCTGTCGCAACTGGTTTCTGGGTTCGACGAGTATTGCCTCGGCTTCACTTGTCCTGGTAAGACCCCTTCCTTTAATTTCTTTCATTCTCTTTATGTGCTATTGTCTGTCTGTTGCCATTACTGATCTTATTCGAGGTCTGGGATCTATCTGTATCTTGAATTTTGTGGCTATACTTTGAACCTCTGTGCTTTTTCATCATTCTCTTTGTCGCTGTTCTTGATTTTTTCCTGTACCTCTATTGTTTCTGAAAATTATACCTCTGTTCTTGAATCTGAAATTTCGTCTTTGTTTTCTCTTTTTTGTATCTGCCCCAGATCTGTGCCCTCGATCTTTATCTTTATAGTTCGTAGATTTGGGATTTTGTCTGTAGAACCCTTAATCTTTAGGGAAACCTGAAAAACGCCCATCTTCTGAAACATATTCCTCTTAGTTTAGGCCGACATAATGGGTATGTGGAGGCATAGGGTAAATACCCCAACAAGTCTTGAATACTTTAGGCAAGAATTCTCTATCCCAGCCGACGTTCATCTTAAGCTGGCTGGGGATGATGACACTATCGTGCCTACAGACCATACAATGCCTTTTCCAGTAGTTGCTTTTATCGAATGTGGACTTCGGCTTCCACTCGATCCCCTTTTTCGTCAAGTTCTCCATTTCTATAAGCTAAACCCCATGCAACTTACTATCAATTCCTATAGGGTGATTAACGGTATTATAGCCTTAGCTAGGCAAGAAAACCTTAGAATCACCCTAGCTGACCTTCAATATTGTTATACCATGTGCCCTCTCGATCTGAAGGATAGGGGTTTTGTCTATTACCTTAAGCCGAGATCCACTCAGTACAAAATTATAGCCGACCTCCCAGACTCCAACAAGGGGGCTGGAGATGATTTTCTCATTGCTTCTGAAAATTGGGAATTTGGCCCAGATGAAGATGTCCACCTCTACCCTCTTCCTCAAACACTTACAGAGGGCAAGAGTAAGAGCCCTGAGTCAACACTTAGTTTTTTATTTCAGACTTGAATACTTTTTGTTTCGGACGTCTGTTTCCTTGCAGATTTTCATCAACCACCGAAAAATTTTCGTCAATCCTTCTTCCCAGGACCAGATCTGAAAACACTTCTTGGCCTTCCAATCCTTAAACGAAAAGCCCCAGTATTATTAAACTTCGTCCCTACATACAAATCTACCTTACCTGACGTCCCAAGAAAAAGGAAGAAGAGTCTTTCTCCACCCACAGCCACAACCTTAACTGCTTCTACTTCCCGAACAGATCAAGAGTCTACATCTGACCCTGCCGATCTTCCATCAACCTCGGCCCCCTTCCTGATTCCAGTTCCTGAACGAAAACGCCGACGTAGACTAATAAAAACTGCCGAGATGGTACGTCCACGGCCTGTCGTTCAAGACCTGCTTGCCGATCTTCCAACTGACGCCGAGGCCGCGCCAGTGCAATCAATGCTTCCACCCAAACAAAAGAGAGTTAAAAAGGCTCAGCCTAAGGCCAAGACTACAGATGCCGAAGCTGAGGATACTGTGCCTATTTCGAAGCTGGCAGAAAGCAGGAAATCAGCCTCTGTCTCCGCCAAGAGGTCTGCTGAGGGTCAACCCTCAGGATCTACACAAACAAAGAGGCCAAGGTCATCGTCTGCGACGACCTCGGCTTCGAAGAAGCCCGACGTCCCCTGGGCCCCTGATCTATCCCTGGAGGATAGGCCCATTATGGCTAGTGAGAGTGCTGACGACATTAATATTGCTGTCGCTCTTAGCACTGCTCTCCTTCTACCAAATGACTTGGAGCGAAATGCCAAGTTTAGTGAGTATGAAAATTACGCCCTTATGCTCCAACACTCTGCTCAAGTAAGTACTTCTGTTTGTACTTGTGTTTTTTCCTTTTGTTTCTTTCTGAGAAAATTTTCTGACACTTCTGTTTTCATTCAGGCTATCCAACATGCCCATTCATTTTCAATGCAGTCCTTTGAAAATCGTCAAAGATTGGTTGACATGAAGAGGGAAGCATCTTCAATGAAGAGAGAGATAAGGGCCCTTGAAGCAAAAATGAAAAAACTGGAGGACCAGGCCGAGGCTGCAACGCCCACATCTGTGTGCATGAACCAACGGAGGACTTAGTTTCTGAGCAAGAATAACTATTTTCAGTGGTAAATTACCAACAAATTTGTTAAGAGAAAAAAGGGGAAAAAGTGCTTCTCAAGGACAGCAATTACATGACAATTGAATTTGAGCACTAGAAACCTATCTATGCTAGAGGATTGTTTTAGCTACTGAACATTCTTAAGCAAATAACAGGAAAATTTTCCTAAATACAAAATTAAGATTTGACGCATTAACCAATGCCAGTCTTTGATCTGGATTTGTATAGCAAAATTGAGAAGAGGAAATGCTATGAGCAATTCTTCTACATACTAGGAATTTCATATTGTACAATGCTACTTATCACTAATCTTCACATAACATAAATACTTATCACCAATATAAATTCCAAATTGAAACAAATTCATATGGTATTTTGAAGGTGAAATTATCCAGAAGTGTCTCAATAAAGGATAAAAAGGCATTACATCAGTGATATAATTATTTTTCTTTTTTTCCCCTATGAATGCATTAACAATGAATGGTTACAAATTCATTAAGTTGGAGTTCTCAATGGAAGAAGCATGAGCAATAATATCACTCAGTTAAATGGTCTATTTTATTGATTGCTTCAGATTCAGATTCTATGTTGATTATAAAACACAGGCTGCTGGTTAAAATCCTCAGTTTGGTTAAGCCTGAATGAAGAAGTAAGAAAATATCGACATTATTATGAAACTTAAAATATTTAAATAATGGAAATACATAGTAGCTGGTTAGAACAAGAACCCCAAGCAACTCACTGAGAAATTTTAAATTGTTCCTATTGGGTCATGCATGGCAACTGGTATAGATGAATAAAGGTGGGCCGCTTGAACGGGTTCGCTCGTAGACATTGTGGTGGTGAGGTGGTGTCTATAGGGTTCACCACATAACAAGGGTGGTCTAGATAGCTGCAATAGCAAAATAGCTAAAGTGCCTCCAAGAAACTTTGGTAAACATCAATTTTAATACTTTAATTATCACAACACTCTTCACTAATATGTTTGATGTGATAGACATCCAAGGAAAAAGTATTAAAAAGCTCCTTTTCAGGGGAGAGTAGGATGATACCGGTTCCTCCACCTTTAAAAGTGGTTTAGCCTTCAAAGTTGAGGCTCTAGTCTCCCTCTGTTGTTACTTCAGCAGCTTGAAGATCCTCTCGTGGAAATTCTTTTGAAGGCAGCTCGTGTTCCGCACTAGGAAAGGGAGCCAATATGTCAACCAGAGCTCGACTCTTGATGGCCTTCAGAACCTTGCAAATGACGTCATACTTAGTCAAAGAGTGCAGCTGCTGAGTGAGCTTGCGGAGACGACTGGCCGAGTGAGGAACTGGTCAATTCACTCTTGGTGACAAGATGAATGGTGTGGGCAAGGAGGTAGTGACAAAGCTTAATCTTAGAAAAGACCAAGACGAGACAATGACACTCAATCGGATAGTATCTTACCTCAGCACATTGGATTACTCGCCTTACATAGTACTCAAGGTGCTCGACCCCATCTAACTCTTGGCCAAGTAGGACCCCTGTGAAGCAAAGTCCCACATCACCCGAGTACTAAAGTGATGTCAAGCATATAAGCGTGAAGGCACCCTCACCTTAATAGTTAGCTTTTGTGGTTGAGTTCTACAACTGTATCGTCCTTCTTCAATAGCATTTCTCCCAACGGATATTTCTTGAAAAGCTTCTGAACAACCAAATCCCAGTTAGTTCTTCCACCACGGGACAGCGACTTAGTTTTTGGCTCATTCGTAGAAGACTCAGTATCATCCCCATCCCCACCTTCTACGCATTCTTCCTCCTTGCTTGGTGAGGGCTGTTCCTCTTCTTCATCGGCAGTCACAGCATGAGGTATGTTCAAACTAACAGCTCTTTCCAAAGCATCCTTGTGTTCTTTTTCTATTGTCTGCAACCTCTCGATTTTTTGTACTCTTGGGGCTGCTGTTGTGGTCTCCTTGTGATATTCCGGCATTCTCTGTGTTAAGGTATAAGTTTAACGGTTAATTTTTCTTCAGAACAATTGTAAAAACTTAAGACTTTGCTTACCTATAATATCCAAGACCAATCATGGTACAGGTGGCCTTAGATAAGTTGGTTCCAAGAACCAGACATTTCATAGCTAAGAATCTCAAGTCTAGTTTGGTTGGGCAAATTAAAATTTCAAAATCTACAAATTTACAAACAAGTTAATTCAGAATTTGTATAGCATTGAATAGAACAAATTTTGAATCTCCAAATATAAATATATATATTTTTTTATAAGTTTGAATCTCCTAATGTTAAATTAGGTAACTCCACATTTTTATAGAAATAAACAAATTATGTTTTCACAAAGAACACAAGTTTATAGATTTTAAGTTGTTTTTTACTTTTATTATACACCGATCTAATATCTCTATTTGTAGGTGATGCAATTCTAGAAAAGCCCATGTTACAAATACAACAGTCCTTCGCAAAAGTCTTGGTTAAATCAAAACCAAATGTGAATGCAAATGACTGCATTATACTGTTTAATGTAAGCGGCTGAAGTGCATTGCGATCTCTAGTTTGAACCACAGGGGGGGGAAAATAAATAAGAAACTAGAAACAATGTATGGGTATAAGTTTTAGGATGGTTGTCTACCTATTAGAACCTTTGAGAAAAGGCACACCCATGGAGAGAGAGAGAGAGAGAGAGCATCTGCATTGAAGATTTCAAAATTAGTGTGACATAGGCAAAAGCAGGGCCCAAGTTGACTAACGTGCTGACTACCTAACATATACAAAACTGCTCCGATAGTGATTGCTATAGCAGCTCATTATCTCGCAAGGCTCATTTCTTTATAAAGAGAGCGGGGAGGCAACGGTCAGCTATTATTTATTATTATTTTTTAAAAATTAGTAGTGGCTCGCGAAGCCAAATGGCTAGCCTCAGTTAGCTAACAATGTAACATCTGTTGATTTTAGGGAGCATTTAGCATCTCCAATGGAGCAACAATAGATAAAAGTAAGTTGCTTGCTAACTAAAAACTGACCCTAGCAGGCACCTTAGCATCCTCAGAGGGTCCAGGTGGTGGTTGTTAGAGCGAGGAACATGCTCTACTCTAACTGTGTTAAATTTATCCATTAACCTCTGTACTATTGTTTTGTATGATGCAAGAGGTGGCTGGTTTATGGCACAATTCTTGTTCTTCTGTTTGACTACAAAAGTCACCTTTGATGCACAGTTATCATCGTGTGAAGTGTTGCTATGAGCTCAAGTACGAGAGCCTCATACTCCACTTCATTATTGGAGTATCCAAATTCTAGCTTATAAAAGAAGTTGACTTGACGCCATCAGGGGAGAGTAGGATGATACCGGTTCCTCCACCTTTAAAAGTGGTTTAGCCTTCAAAGTTGAGGCTCTAGTCTCCCTCTGTTGTTACTTCAGCAGCTTGAAGATCCTCTCGTGGAAATTCTTTTGAAGGCAGCTCGTGTTCCGCACTAGGAAAGGGAGCCAATATGTCAACCAGAGCTCGACTCTTGATGGCCTTCAGAACCTTGCAAATGACGTCATACTTAGTCAAAGAGTGCAGCTGCTGAGTGAGCTTGCGGAGACGACTGGCCGAGTGAGGAACTGGTCAATTCACTCTTGGTGACAAGATGAATGGTGTGGGCAAGGAGGTAGTGACAAAGCTTAATCTTAGAAAAGACCAAGACGAGACAATGACACTCAATCGGATAGTATCTTAGCTCAGCACATTGGATTACTCGCCTTACATAGTACTCAAGGTGCTCGACCCCATCTAACTCTTGGCCAAGTAGGACCCCTGTGAAGCAAAGTCCCACATCACCCGAGTACTAAAGTGATGTCAAGCATATAAGCGTGAAGGCACCCTCACCTTAATAGTTAGCTTTTGTGGTTGAGTTCTACCCAAAACCGTGTAACATGGTATTAAAACCGGAGTACGCGAGGATGGATAGGTGCATGTCCCTAGCTTGCACACCACAGGTGCTACCGAGTGAGCACGTTGGGCTTGAGAGAAGATGCGAAGCGAAGTCCTATATCACCTGAGTACTAAAGCGATGTCAAGCATATAAGTGTGAGGGCACCCCCACCTCTTGAGCTAGCTTTTGGGGTTGAGTTTTACCCGAGTCCGTGTAATAGTGTCGATGCCATCCAAAGAGAAACTCTCACAGTGGAAGCCACCTGGGGTGTAGGAACTTGATTCAAAGTTGAGGGCAAGATAACAACAATCCCAACAGGATGGCCTTCCATGAGGGTTGGCTCTTCTTTGTAACACTGCTAGGCATCCATGAGGAACTGTTAATTTTGTAAGGTAACACCTCCAACTAATGAGAGATATTGCTCAGCATTTGCTAGGTTAGTTTAGCAGGTGATATGTCAAATGTTCTAACATCGTTGTGACCACTCGGCCACCATGAGAGGTTGTGGGTCCTCCATGTGAAGCGAAAGCTCCAAGTAAAATGAGCACCAAGTCTAGTTTGAGTATCTTTGTAGATATTTGGTAAAGAGATAATCATTCCTAAACCTTTGGAAAAATGGTGGGGATTTCAATAATTGAGAGTTATTAGAGGTGGCAGAGAATATAACTAAGGCAGCCTTAGAGTGAGAGATAGAGTGCCATTGCTATACACCCTTGTCAACAGAATAGAGGACGATGATAACTGGAGTTGTGTCTTCTCTGTATGTGGATACACCCTTATATAGGCTCTAACACTGTTAGAGACCAACTCACCCAACAGGTGGCCAGCTCTTCTTGACCAGCGAAGGTATGAGGTCTACTTCTCTATCCCAGGATTCATACCTTAGAGGTGCAGTCTGCAGAGTTGTATGATACCTTAGAGGGTGTATGATACCTCTTTCAAGGTGTCAAGGTGTTAGGTGTTGGGTCAATGTCCTCTCTCTAAGACCAGCCAAGGAAGAGTTGCTTCTTCCTAAGGGGGAGCAAGTCAAGCAACCATGATGAGCCCTTAATCCTAGTTTCCAAGCAACAATCCTCCAACGAACTCGAGTAGTGAATGCATAGGCCTTGCTCTTAGGGGTTGTTTGGGGTGTCCTAAATAAGTGCACTTTTTGTCTTTTTGGACTAAAAAATTGAGGAAGAAAATATAGATTATTGGATTAACTTTTTGACTTTTTATGGAAAAATGTGTAATAAAAAATTATAAAAATTGATTTGTAGGAAAAAATTAAGATTGGGAGTTGTGCAGCCGTAATTGTTGACTTTTGGTGAATAGTGTTAACTTTTTAACTTTTTGAATAACTTTTTGGCTTTTTGGCAATATGCCAAACTTGGCCTTAGTCTAAGATGGCAAGTGATGGCCATGGTAGTAATGACAAAAATCCTAACTAAGGGATGAGTACATAGGTGAGACATAGCCAAGTTACAAGCCGAGCTATGCTACAACCAAGCGGGAGTGACTAAGTGGTGCTCTTGGTCGCTCCTTGGCACACCCTATGGGAATGAGGTATGCAGGGCTATGGCTAGGCAAATGGGCTTATTCAAGTGAGACGAGGTGCCGAGCAATGGTGTTATCAAATGGTCTATAGCCGAGAAGTATTGTAGGCATGCCTTAAACTTTTCATACTTCGAATCATTTTCTTGGTGCCGAAACTCGCAACTATGGTGCTGAGCGCACTAGTAAGTCAAACAATCATACTTCATGGTCTATATGCCTCCAGCTTAGCCTAGGCACTGAAATTGTTCCTATTGGGTCATGCATGGCAACTGGTATAGATGAATAAAGGTGGGCCGCTTGAACGGGTTCGCTCGTAGACATTGTGGTGGTGAGGTGGTGTCTATAGGGTTCACCACATAACAAGGGTGGTCTAGATAGCTGCAATAGCAAAATAGCTAAAGTGCCTCCAAGAAACTTTGGTAAACATCAATTTTAATACTTTAATTATCACAACACTCTTCACTAATATGTTTGATGTGATAGACATCCAAGGAAAAAGTATTAAAAAGCTCCTTTCAGAAGGTTAACACTATGTTACATGAACTCTTCAAACGACATTTGGACAAGGGTGTGGGTAGGGCTGCAAACGAACTGAGTTATTCATGAATAGCTCAAGCTCGGTTCATTTACTAAATGAACGAGCTTGAGCTCAATTTTTAAGCTCGTTTATTAATCGAGCTAAGCTCGAGTAGCCCCAAGCTCAATTCGATAGGGCTCTTGAACATAAAGAAAATAAATTAATATTTATTTTTAATAATATATCAAATAAATTTTTATTATTTTATTTTATTTTTCTATTTGTGTTTGTGTTTGTGTTTGTGTTTGTGTAAATTTACATATTTGATTGATAAAAATAATATAAGCATTCTTTTATATTTTGCTCATAATTATCTATTTTTTATTCTAATAATTAAATTAATTTAAGTTTTTTTTTAAAGCTTGAGCTCGAGTTTATCAAATATTTGACAAGTCGAGCTCAAGCTCCATTATTTAAGCTCAACTTAAGCTCGGCTCAAGCTTGACTAATTCTTAGTAAACACCCTTGAACACTCAAAAGCTCGGCTCGGCACGGCTCAGCTTGTTTGCAGCCCTAGGTGTGGGATGTGTGTCCAATACTTCCGTTCAAATACTTTTTATATATTCGTATTTAACACTATCATTATATGTATATGTTGTATTATTGCTATAAAATTAGTAAAGTGTATGATCTTTTTTGGTTGAGTTTGCCTACCCTTAAATTTTAGATTTGATGGCCAAGAGTTCAATCCGAGAAGGAGAGAATCTGTCATTGACCTTAATGTGACAAAAGTCCATGTGAACATTGTCAAATTGCTTTATGTGACAATCTTTGGGAAATTTGTTTGAGTTTCTGCTCAAAACAAATAAATAAATAATCCTTTTGTAAGAGTATAAATACACCTCATTATATGATGTCAAACTAGTGAAGTGCAAAGTTGATTTCCACTTACTTCCAAAGCCTTCTCTGCTTCCCTTTCTATCCAAACAATTGCATGATCTTTTGTGGCATTGCACGATAAGACAATATGTTCAAATCTTCCATCTACTGGTATGGCAGTTCTAACCTCTGGAGGATATCTCCCACATCTGTGTGCATGAACCAACGGAGGACTTAGTTTCTGAGCAAGAATAACTATTTTCAGTGGTAAATTACCAACAAATTTGTTAAGAGAAAAAAGGGGAAAAAGTGCTTCTCAAGGACAGCAATTACATGACAATTGAATTTGAGCACTAGAAACCTATCTATGCTAGAGGATTGTTTTAGCTACTGAACATTCTTAAGCAAATAACAGGAAAATTTTCCTAAATACAAAATTAAGATTTGACGCATTAACCAATACCAGTCTTTGATCTGGATTTGTATAGCAAAATTGAGAAGAGGAAATGCTATGAGCAATTCTTCTACATACTAGGAATTTCATATTGTACAATGCTACTTATCACTAATCTTCACATAACATAAATACTTATCACCAATATAAATTCCAAATTGAAACAAATTCATATGGTATTTTGAAGGTGAAATTATCCAGAAGTGTCTCAATAAAGGATAAAAAGGCATTACATCAGTGATATAATTATTTTTCTTTTTTTCCCCTATGAATGCATTAACAATGAATGGTTACAAATTCATTAAGTTGGAGTTCTCAATGGAAGAAGCATGAGCAATAATATCACTCAGTTAAATGGTCTATTTTATTGATTGCTTCAGATTCAGATTCTATGTTGATTATAAAACACAGGCTGCTGGTTAAAATCCTCAGTTTGGTTAAGCCTGAATGAAGAAGTAAGAAAATATCGACATTATTATGAAACTTAAAATATTTAAATAATGGAAATACATAGTAGCTGGTTAGAACAAGACCCCAAGCAACTCACTGAGAAATTTTAAAATTGCATTAAATAGAAAATTTCATAGGCTTCAAAGTAGTAAGAACCAGCAAGACCAGGAGATATCAATGTAGATGGATCAGTTGAGTTTTGCCAATCATGAACACAAATCACTCAGGGGGCTAAGCAAGGTAAATTTTGATAAATCCTAATAAACCTTAGATGAGGCATTAAAATAAAATTGCCAATGGTTCTGATTTACGTACCTGCAAAATTTTCTCTCAACAATATGATACATTCTTCCGGGTGCATACAGTCTTCTAGGATCTTTAAGCTTCCTGCCTTCTGGTATGAAAGTATCCCTCCAGCAAACCGCAAATAATAAGCAGGGCAAGCTGTCCAAAGCATTAATGCCTGGTTTAAGAGATAATAATAACAATTCACACCTCTACAAGGCAGACAACCTAAAAGTAAACAAAAGACTCAAAAGGCTTCATACAGTCTCTGAGTTATCATACAGATGGAACACAACTCACCACAAGAGCGATTTGAATATATCTTCCAACGGGGTCGGTGTTCTTGGTAAGAAATCATCCTGGAAACATTAAATTGAGGTGGCATGGTTAGTTCACTAAATTGGAGCAACTAAGCAAAATGTCATGGATAACAAGCAGGTTTCCAAAAAACATTAAACGATGAAAGTAAACTAAAAGCCTAAACATTTTGTGAGGTGGATTTGAAGGCAAATTAATCCTCCCCTGGTTATCTCTGTTAATATATTAACATAGGTTAATATAACATATAACATATATATTAACATATTCATATACTTATGTATATAATATTATACTCTACTATACAGACAGCTTGCTTTCGTATATAATATAATTTAGTCTGTAATTAGTATATAATATAATATGTAATATGCTTTCGGCTTGTCGCCTCTTTCGGCCGCCCACTTGTGCCTTTTTCTTATTTTACCACGATCACAGTCAACAAAGCTGCGACCCCAGACCCCAACGAGTGTCCAGCAAAAATCATCTTGTACGAGGCCCCATTTTCAAGCCACAATCGCTTCAGAGTATCGGATTCCTCGTTGAGCAACCAAACTGCAGATTTCAAAAGGCCGTGGTGGACGTAGCCTCCATCGAACATCTGCATACCCAATTTGTTGTCAAGAAGGAGCTTGTAGTCGCTCTCTTTGATCAAATTGAGGCCACGGATGGCGAGAACAATCTCGCGGTGGTCGTGGTCGAGGTAGATGATGTAGGGAGGGGCGTTGCCGTGAGTCTGCTCGTAGGTGAGGCGCTTTATCACACAGTCCGGGTTGAGGCGGTAGCCGCCGGCTGGAGGGAATTGGGGGTGGCGGAGGTCGCCCTCGTAGACGGCGAGGGTCACGCGACAAATGCGGGGGACTGCCTCGAACTCCTCGGCAGTGGCAGGAGGCCAGGTGGCGCTGTCGTAGGACCCGATGTAGGTGCAACGCTTCCACCCCCACCGGAGGAAACCCAGCGCCAGCACCCATTCCACCCCGCACGCCACTGACATAACGCTACTATCACCACCACCACCACCACTACCACTCTGCAGCTGATCTAATTACTTTTAGAGAGAGAAAACAAAGGAGTTGGTGAGAGAGAGAGTGGGGAGGGGAAGGTGAAGATGAAGGTGAAGCTTTTTTTTTGAACAGTAAGGTGAAGGATATTACTAGAATTTAATAGTATATATTAGTAAGATGGACCACGTGGAGTAGGGGATTGGCATTGGGGGAGTGGGTGGGGTTAAGAGAGAGAGGCTGGGGGAGGTGCTGAGCTGTGGGTTCGCTGGTTCTGGAGAAATTATTCATTGTCTAAGCAGCATTGCTTCATTCTATTTGTGTTTAAAATAATCTGATTTTTTAATTTTTTTTTTTGATTATTTTAACTTAATTTTTTTAGCCTTATTTATTTATTTTTTTATGAAAAAAAGAGCGTAATGATTATAATTTAAATGTGATATTTTGTCTTATTAATTTATGTAATAAATTTTATCTTTTGTGTTTTTTTTAAGTCAAAAATCAAAATTAAACATAGCTTAAATAGTGGAATCCATTGTTTTCACCGATAATAGCTAGGTAGGAGCACTACCTAGGCTTGCTCATGAAGCAATGAATAATTCCTCCTGATTTTCCTAACGTACTTATAAAAAATAAAAAATAAATAAAAATAAAAAAGAAAAGGGGTGTGTGCCTGTCTGTACAGTACAATACTGTTTGCTGAGTTTTTAGCGAGAGAAAATCGAGATAATGAAGGAAGGAGACGGGAGATCTGGAAGATTGGACTGGTTTTGCTGCTGTCGGGCTTGCGGACCGCACCTCCGAGTGCTACGTCAGTGGTTCGAGCGGTTAGATTTGTGGGCTCCTCGAACAGATAATTATTATAAACAATTAATTTAAGGCCTAGTTTGGGAAGATTAAATAAGTGTATTTTTTGACTTTTTATGAAATATGGGTTAGATTTGGGTTGGGTTTGAAGTGATGTGTTAGAGAGGTGATATGACTTAAATAAGATGATGTGACTTAAATAGGATAGTGACTTTTTTGACTTTTTATCTTTTTTGTCTCACGCCAAACTTGGCCTAAATCATGTTTATTTTGAAAAATATAGATGATTCATCTTGTCTAAAAAAATGATCCTTTATATTTTTTTTAGGACAAATTACATATACCCCTCGAGGTTTGGTTAAATTACAGATACCCCTGAGGTTTTGGAAATTACATCCCGCCCCCTGAGATTTGTATTTTCATAACAATTTGCCCCCTGAGGTTTATATTTCATAACAAATTACCCCATAATTTCTTATGCAAATATAGCATTCAGAGGGGAATTCGTAATTTCTCAAACTTCAGGGGTATTTGTAATTTAACCAAATCTCGAGGGTATATGTAATTTGCCCTTATTTAAAAAATTCTACAATCTCAACTGCTCGGATCATCGACGTGAATGAGGTCCACAAGCCTAACAGCGCGGTGCTGCTGGACTTGGCCAACAGCAGCAAAACCAGTCCCCAGCCGGACAGCCATGTGTACGTTGTTTAGGGACAATTGTATGATAGATTGCGACTGTAAGAAGTAATTTGAAATTTTTTTTTTTTAAATGGGGCAAATAATTTGACGTTAGTTTCTTACTTTGTTTCTTCTAATTTAACCTAATTTGAATCTTAAAATGAGTTTGAGAATTGATTATTTTAATTAATTTTTAAATTTTTTATAAAAAAGATATATATAAAAAAATAGAGAGAGTGTGTAATGTGATAATTTATAGTGATTTTTTTGTCTATTTTCAATTTTTTTATAATTTTATTTGAAAGGAAAATTATTATTCTTACTAGTTTTAAAAAATTATTACATATTAGTGAAAAAGTATATAATATTAATTTTTAAAATTTATAATATTTTTAAATTTTTTATTGACACCATATCAATATAATTCCTCCTTACTAGAATGGGATCTTTTTGTCACTTTTTTATGCCTTGACTAAATTAGTAACAAGCTAAATTAGTATTAAAAAAGAAAAAAAAGAAACATCAAAAAGTTAATACAACATTTTTTTTAGTTTTTTGTAGAAGGTAAAATCACTGAAAAAGTTAATTCTCAAATGAATCTTAATTATTATAATTTTAAACATAAAAAAGATCATATGCATAATTAGAATAACTAAAATGGAATTCAATTTCTTATATAAAAAAAAAAATTAATTAATTTCACTTTGATCCTTTCAATTTCACACATTTTTTTTTCTATAAAATATTAACGACGCATGATAGAGAAATAATATTATAACAAAATTTAAAGTGTGTGATTCAAATTGCTCAAACTATAGTTAGGAGAGCTGAAGTGACATTTTTTAATTTAATTACATGGACTAGCAGTTAATTTATCCAAAATAAAAATCAGCTTGTTTGGTTCCAGTTTTTAGAAAATAATGTTCAGAAATTCTAGTTTTTTATTTTTCGTATTTTAATATTTTCAATGAATTTTTTTAATATTTTAAGCAATTTTTTTTTTTAATTTTTAGGCACACCTAACATAAATACACTTAAAAAGTATAATATTTGTGAAAAAATATTTTAAAAATACACTAAATACCAAAAAATATATTAAAAAATGAAAATTCAGTACATTTTCGTATTTTTGTCTATTTATTAATATATTTTTTCACAAATATTTTACTATTTAGATACATCTACGTAAGGTGCATTTAAAAAAGTAAAAAAATTACTTAAAATTTAAAAAATATGAAAAATAAAAAACTCAGTTTTCAGAAAACTAAATTTAGAAAACTGAAACCAAACACACTGAATAATTTTTTTTGAACAATCCACTTTAATTATTTATATTGGGCTTATTTGGTATAACTTATATAAATTGCTTATAATTTCTTCTTTTTTTATTTTAAGTATGACTATTTGGTGTAACTGTTGCTTATAATTTATCATGCAGACATAATTTAAATGAGCTAAAAAAAATTATTCTTTAAAAACTGTGTGAGGAGTGTTTTTAACTTTTACTTTATGATTATCCGTTTTAAACTTGTAAGACCTATTATTTACTGAGAAATACTTAAAAGTTTTAAAACATTACTTCTTAAATTTATCTCTAATAACATAAATTATGGCATGTTAATTGTTAAATTATTTATAAACCACTAGGTTTAACCTCTTGCGACGTTAATCTAAGTAAACTTTATATTTTCTGAATTTTCATTTTTTTAATATATTATTGACTAGACGGCCGGCGACGAGCAGCGACGATCTTCGGCGGCGGCGGTGGTGCTGGCTCTTCTCCTCTTTCTCTTCTCCTCTCTTCTTCCTCTCTTCTCTCCCTCTTTTGAGCCAATTCGAGCTACGGCTCATTTCTGTTTTTTTATTTTCATTCATAGATGATGTTCTTTGTCTAGTCAAAAAAGGTGTTTTTTTTCAAAATTTTGATTGATAGATGATATTACAATATCGGTCAATCAATTATAAACAATGATAAAAATCAACTTTTTATTTTGATTCATAGATGATATTCCTCATCTAGTCAATATAGGAATTTTTTTTAATTTTGATTGGTAAATGATATTACAATACTGGTCAATCAATTATAAATAATGATAAAAATCAAATATTTTTATTGTGATTCATAGATGATATTCCTCGTCTAGTCAATATGGGTATACACGGGAGATAAGATTTTTAAAATTTCAAACTATTAAGTTCCTAATGAGGTACAAAAATTCAGAATAATATAAATAAATTTAGGAGTCATGTTTAGCACTTTTCATGTTTATATATCTTTTAAAATAAGATATGATTCTCTTCAATTGGAGAAGCCAATAGATCACATTCTTAGGGCTCGGTAGACCCACACATTGATGTTCAAATTTGTTTAGAAAATGTTTAAAATGATCTAAATAAGTATATTTTTTGATTTTTTATAAAAAATGTGAAAAAAATAGAGAGATAATATAATATAAAAAAGATAAAACGATAAATAAAAAAAATGTACTTTTGTAGGGGATGTGAAATAGTACCTTAATTTGTAAGGCCTTGTGCACAGATCATTCATGAAAAAAATTTATTATTCAAACAAACATAGTCATATGATGAAATACATTTGTTATAATAAATATTTTTTAAAAAACGGACAAGTATGGTTTCAAGAAAATCCACCCATTATTTTTTAAGACTATTGTATTATTATCATGTATTTATAATTAATTTAATTTTTTTGAGTAGATAATCTATTTAAAAGAGCTTATAAGATGAATGATTCAAATTAATGAGATAATTTGTTTGTTGGATCCACAAAAACCCAACAGTATACTTCAATTGAATAAAAAGTTGTTAAAAGGAACACTTAGGCCTCGTCTGGAAGCGACCAGTTTAGCTAAAAAGTCAAAAAGTTACTAAAAAAATCAAAAAGCCAACAATCCATACCAAAAAGTCAAAGATTCTCTTTTCTCTCTACTTTTTGCACATCTTTTCGTAAAAAATAAAAAGTCATTCCAAATATACTAGTTTTTTTTAATTCATATTTTAGCCAAATAACTAAAAAATTATTAAATTAGTATATTCTCAAACGATTGTTTGAATCAACAATTATCAAATTGAAGCACCATATAGAATTGTTCCAATAACGTTAAATAATTTATCAATTGCAAGAGTTCTTTTGGTTTGAGTGAATTGATGAAAATATTTATTAAAAAAAATAATGAGGGAACTTTTTTCATGTTTAATATATAAATTAACACTTCATTTATTTTAGCAGAATTTTTTTCCCTATGAAATGTTTTTCTATATTTAGTTGTAACCTTAATACATAGAGCGATTATCAAGTGATGGTGGAGAGACGGTAGTTTAGTAGCATTGTTAATACTTTAATATTCAAAACATTTTTCATCTTTCAAAAGTAAAAATATTTTTCGACCAAATAAACTTATTTTCCATTGCCTTCTATTTCTCCTCATACCAAATGTCAAAAATATGGCAAATGTTTTATGCCAAAATAAATAAAGTGTTAGTGAAAAATGGTGAGAAACAATAAAAAGAAAAAAATCTTTTCTTTTGCTAGTTTTATTTTTAACTAAATATAATGAGATTAAGTAAGAAATAAAAATGATTGATTATATACTTTTTCATATCAAGATTGTTCATCAAAATACAAAAATACAAAAAAAAAAAGAAAAAAAATGTCACTCGTATTTCTATCTCACATACTTTATATATTTTACTTTCTTATTCATTCAAACTAATATGATAAATTGT